TAAATCAATAGGAGAATAATCAAGTTTTAATAAAAGATAATTTATTGAACATAAGGAAGGTACCAACAAGCACAGAAAATATATTTTCTGAAAGAGAGTCAATCACTACGAAACGAACCAACGAATCAAGTATAATTCAGCAATTAAAATTAAAGAAAAATCACAAAAAAAGATTACCAAGCTTCTAAAGAGACCAAAAGAAAAAAACAAGATAAAGGAAAGTTAGTAAAAAGATGGAGAGAGAAAGCCAGCCAATTCTACCTGCTGATTTTTGGGAGCAAATGCAGATATTGGTGAATGAGATTATTCAACAACAAAGAGAATCGTTCAATACTCATGGTCGTACCGAGTTAACTGCAACTGTGCAACAGAGCTTACAACAACAAGAACAAACTCAAAAGAGTCAAAAATTAGAAGTCGTAACTGGTACAATTCCAACAGTTAAAAGACATGTGCAAAAAGTGGAAGACCTTGTTCAGCAAGTTGAAACAAACAACAATGAAGTTGCAGACCAAGCAACCGAAGGTCAGACAAAGAATTCTGCCGGACATGCTCAATCCTTTAAGCATGTTGTAGATATGATTTGTACTTTTCCTATACAAATCAACTATTTGGATCTCAAATTGAGTTGCCTGCCGGTCCCAATTCAACCGGTATCATTGCCACCACCGCCACCGCAACCTCCACCACAACCATCACCCTGCCTTACAAGGTTTTTAATACAACCTTGGGTCAATTTCAGTGCTAACCACACCAATCATACACAACACTACACCAAACAAACATCACGATCGCCAATCCCGGCATCAGTCAGACAAATTTTCTTTTCACCACGACCACCCAAACCCCCATCCTTCCCAAGCTACGAAGACATTTTGCGAGCCCGACCCAGCACACCATCCCACCCAATTCATTCACCTTATCCAACCCATCGCACCGTAACCACCAAACTCCATTAAGCACTGAGGACCGCTTACCGCGACCAAGCCGACCCACCAGACCATAGCACCCACCCTGCGAAACCCACCACGACCCATCGACCCATCCTATCCAATCCACCCATTCATCCCATCAGATGCACCCATCAGACGCGCCAAGCCACACCGCGACCCATGACCACCCATCAGACTCACCCAAACCCACCGCGAACCATCAGACCCACCGCGAACCATCAGACCCACCCAGACCCACGCAGACCCGCCAACCATCCCACATAAATACGCACAGCAGATCTGAAATTTCGGTTAACTAAGAAACTCGAAGTGACATTTCGCACCCTGTCCCTCCCAACCCACCCACCGTTCGGAGAGAAGACGGTAGATGTATACACATTTTTATTTTTGTTTATCGGTATAGGATTGAGACTTATATTAGTAGCTGATCACATGACATGAAAGCAGGAGCGATGACAGACGCATTCCAATTTTCGAATAGAATTTGAATGGTCATACTAAATCCTTAAGAGATTAAATCCTATTTGACAAACGCTGATCAAAGAACGACGTCAGATCATTGAAAGATATAGGACCAAAACAATCATTTCAAATACCACCCATTGGGAGAGAAGAGGGATGATGTTCTTGTCACATTTTTATTGTTTTGATTTATTCTATTGTTAAATGCGGTATTTTTATTTATTGACATCGACGACAGTCGCAGTCTTTAAAAGGCAAGAGATTCGCTGTTATTTGTTATATGTTTTATACTTAGTGGATCATCGACTCTATACTTTATCATTCTTATATTTAATCTATTTCAATAAAAGAAATAACATTATTATATTATAATTTAATTACGATAGAAAGTTGTAAAGAACAACTAGTTAGTTAAATCAATAGGAGAATAATCAAGTTTTAATAAAAGATAATTTATTGAACATAAGAAAGGTACCAACAAGCACAGGGTCGTCTGTGTTGTATCACCGAGAGAATATTTCTCTTGGTCCAAGACTTGGATTCATCGCTTACGGATATAAAGTCCTACCATGCATAATGCAGAAGGATTCGGATCAAATCCCATTTGTTGGGCAATTAGCTTAAGAACTCAGACAACCTAGAGAAGACGAAGAACAAGTGAGGAGACATATGATACTCGAGATAAAGAACAGAGACATAAGAAAACTACAATTACTATGAAAACTTACTTCTAAATAAAAATTGTATATTAAATTTAGAGAAGGAAATTAAAACTAGGGAGGGTTATCAAAAAACTATTTTAGAAGTATCTAGTTCAGGAGCCTTCAAAACCAGCAGGAAAATAGTAGTGGACAAAGTATTAGATTGACAACCGTAGTTGTCTGTAATTTAATTATAGAAGTATCCTCTAACAGGAGCCTGTTGCTACGCTTGCCCCGGGCATTATTGATCTAAAGCTTTGCAACCATAGCCATCCAATAACCAGTAATTTTAATTTAACCAACTTGGCGAACTGAAATAATCAACCCAGAAGGAGACCAGCTTCTTCTTTCAATGACAAATGATACAAGTATAAGTTGACAAAAGCGCTCTTAAGCGCTAATTTGCAGCCTTCGGTTAAAAAAAAATTGTAAACCAAAATGAATAATGGACAGCAAAGAATTTCTATGAAGTATTTATACTCGGATTTGAGATTCCATGAAAGAAAAGATCGGGATAATATGACTCATATTTGTTGATATTTACACTTATTACTTTATTAAATTAGTCGAGTATAAAAAAAGGACTAATCATTCCACAAAGTTAAGGGATATGTATGTACGTTTGGATGTTTCTTGGCCCCTCCAAAGAAAACAATTACGTCATAAAATATTTGGCTTGAATGAGTACATTTTGACTCATAATTTGCTCCAATAGTTAGAATTTGAATCTAAATAGCTTCAATTGACAAAATTTTGCAGCCAATTGAAATTCAGAAGAAACCCTGAAGAATGAATTTAGAACCAGAATTCTATAAATCCAATGATAATTGGACAAAACATAACTACGCGTTATTTAACTGATCTTTGTAATCCATCCCAACTCTCTCCAAATACTATCGTAGCGAGTTCTTCATTTCTTCTTAGGATAATTCTTCTATTTTATGATCCAATAGAATGATGGTAGACTCTTTGATTTAAGAATATGATTAAAGATGGACTGAAGGTAAAGGACGTTTGAAGCATGGTTGAGTTTGATTTTTTGATTGCTGATTCAGTTGTTTTCATTTCAATTGAGTCGAACTCCACATCCAACATTTCAGTGGAATGGAGATGCTACCCCGAAGGTGATTATTAGAGGAAAGGTATCGCGATTAAAGAGAGCTGGAGTAGTTTATGGTAAGCAATTTATTGCAAGCCAATAACTACAATAGCTATACAATTAAAATAAAATCCAATAAATCCAATAGCTATACAATAAAACAAAAGACAATCTAAATACCAGAATCAACCAATAATGTCATCTAGTACTGAAGTAATAATGGCACCTCATCCCACTCCCCTTTCCAACTCATCCAAAGACCATATTAAACCAATCCTTTTCCCCGCGAGATCAGATAAACATACATCATACAGTAACCATTGTCCAAGTGAATAATTCAGAATGAATGGAAAGTTGTTCCTTTATTTTTTTTTTTTTGTTTTACATGGCTGGAGCCATGAAGGAAGAAATGCATTTACGCACGAATTAACAGTGTGGGACTCGACCATCTGGTAATACCCACTAAAACTCCCTTGAAATTTCCCCCAGTACCCATAATACAATCCATCCAAAGAAACTAACCGCTGGGCAAGCGGATAATTCACAATGAATGGAAAGTTTGATCCCCCAGTACCCGAATAAACCCCCCTGTAACCCGAATAAAAGCCGGCGGTGAACCATTGAATCCATCATCGACTTTAACCGTGCACCAAACGGATAATTCATAATGAATGGAAAGTTTTGATCCCCCAGTAACCCGAATAAAAGCCGTCGGTGAACCATAGAATCCATCATCGACTTTAACCGTGCACCAAACGGATAATTCATAATGAATGGAAACTTTTCCCCAGCAATCTAGATCACACTGAGCCTTCTTCCCTGGAATCAGATAATGCATCCACCATTCAAACTAACCGGTGATCAGGCGACTAATTCAAACATGAAATTATTAAACTGACCCCAAGAAATCCAGCCCAACTAGATCCAAATTGTATCGTAATAAACTCTTCTTTTCTTGTACCACTTATCATCTCCCCTTTCTTGGACCACTTATCATCTCCCCTTTCTTGGACCAGTTATCATCTCTCCTTTCTTGGACCACAACAACCGTACTCTCCTTTCTTGGACCAGTTATCATCTCTCCTTTCTTGGACCACTACAACCGAGCTCACCTTTCTTGGACCACAACAACCGAACTCTCCTTTCTTGGACCACTCATCAAATTCTCAACAATTCATCAACATCATTCACATCCCAATGGATTATCCCCAAATGTATCATCACCACAATTGAAATGAGTCCAACCTAGATTAAGTGAAACCTTCTTCCAATGAAATCAGATCATAGATCCACCACTCAAACTAACCAGTGACCAATTGCCTAATTCAGAATGAAAATATTTCACCAACCCACGGAATCCAGTGAAACTTTCTCCAGATCGGATCAACACCAACCTCTCATCTTCAATGGGCTCCACATAAAACTCTCAACAATTGATTTCTTGAACCACTAAACATACTTTCAATAATTTAATTGTCACCAAAATTTGAATCCTGTTAAATAATTCCCGGAACTTTCAACATCATAATTGGAATCCCATTAAATGTTCACCAAATGTTTCATCATCATAATCGAGATCCTATTAAATTATCACCAAATGTTTTATGACCACAAAATGTAAATCCTATAAAATTATTCCCAATTGTTTCACAACCACCATTAAAATGAAAACAAAAACCTGATTCCCAACCTTCATGCCAATTCCAAATCAGATCAAGTAAGATCTTCTTCCAACGAAATCAGATTATAAATCCACCACTCAAACTAACCAGTGACCAATTGCCTAATTCAGAATGAAAGTATTTCTCCAACCCATGAAATCCAATCAAACTTTCACCAAAATGGATCAACATTAATTCTTCATCTCCAAGGGATTTGTTGTGATCTTTTCTGCTTTCTGTAGATAATGATATTGTTAATCTGGATATAAAAACTAAGGAATATTGGAATATGTAATGGATTGAAAGACAATTGCGAGTAAGTCCAACCTAGATCAAATTAAACCTTCTTCCAATGAAATCAGATAGTAAATCCACCACTCGAACTAACCAGTGGCCAGTTGTCTAATTCAGAATGAAAGTATTTCTCCCATCCATGAAATCCTGTGAAACTTTCTCCAAATTGTATTACCACAAAGTCTTCATCTCCATGTTTTGATTCCATTTTCTGTGGCTTAAGCGCCACAAATAAATTTGATTTCCCGCTAACACCTTCTCCTCTAACAAGTTCCCCCCAATAATACTTCTGTGGACAATTAAAGACATATCTGCCTTTGTGGGATTGATGGGATAGGATTGATGGAATATGATAATTGGTGGTTGAATGAATTAGTGAATTGGGATATTTCTTTGTGGACAAATAAATAAGGAAAAGAAAGATTAATGAAATCAAAACTTTTTTTTTTTGCAATCAAAGTGCTGCAAATATTCCGAATTCTATTTTGGAACGAACACAAAAAAAAATAAAAGTCACTCTCTGAAAACCTGATACTTCCTATTCAAATAAAAGGCCAATTGTCCCCGAAAAAACCCCATATTTCACCAAGTTGTTCACCAGATTGGCTCTTTTTTGTTAACTAAAAAACGTTTGTGTGCAAGGTTGGATGTTTGGTTTCTAACAAAACAAGCCAATCTGGTGAATAACTACCTTTTTCTATGTCCAAAATTATTCCATTTTTTCGCTTGGACTAAGAATTTCTTGAATCATTTAGTCTAAGCTCGGTTCTTGCTTTCATTGAAGTGCTTGAACTTAAAAACATGCTCTTAATAACGGGCATTAAACTGTATTTAGAGCCCGACAAGATCGCTTACATATCTTGGAGTAACTATCTCCCCACATTGGGACTTCTCAGAACTACTTGTGGGGGGATTTCTCTACCTGATGGAGATATGAGCAAATGTAAGTGATACTGGATCGATGAATTGAAGTTTCCTCTAAATTGATATTCTCTTGTGGTAATTCCTTTTCCATTTGACAAACATGTCTGCAGGTGTCTGAACAACATAATAACTTGTAATTACCGTGTATCCTAAATTTTTGTCTACCAGTAGATCTAGTAAGATATCTCGGGCTTCATTTCATTGAAAATATCTGACAAAGATGTCCTTAAAAAAACTCTGAAATTCGATGGTAAAGCATTCAATTCCTTTATTCTAAATAAATCTATCACAAGTAACTTCCTTGTATTCATATTCTTCATATTCCAGATTATTTAAGCCCACCAGAATTCATTCTCTACTGTTCTTTTCAACATCTAAGCAACCGGCGTAGATATCCCCCAGCAAATCTATAAAACGACCAAAATTCAGAATATTTACGGAAACTTCTCTCAATAGGAAGCAGAAGCGTCATTCCAATATTATAGAAGTGCTACATCTATAGTAGAACACAATACATATGATTTCAAGCAGTTTTTTGCAACAGAAAAATCCAAGCATCAAATACGAACTTTCAATTTCTTGATATCGAAATAACACACGAGTCGTACATTTTATTGGGAAATATACCATACAAAGTTTGCTCCTATCTCCAAGGACATCAAAATGAATGTATTATTATGTATAGTTATTATTATTTGCAGAAATGATATCGATATTGGCAGGAAATTCGAAATTAAATTCTGTGGCCAATATTATGTGCAGGAAGGATATTATTGGATCTCAAAGTTTTCAAAAATGGAAATCCCGAACATAGTGGTAGTGCATATTATAACGTGTATCGGAATAACCCTTTTCTGGAAAACGGTCCAAAATTCAACTTTTCGATTGACCCCTTTATTACTTTATTATTGAGTAAGATTGGTTATACTTGAAAATAGTGTCAATCGAGACCCCTTTATTAGAGGAGTAAACTTTGTATAAGATGGTTTTCTGTGAAATAATCAGTTTCCAAGATATAATGAATGCAAAGTTTTACATTTGTTTACATATGATTGGAAGAACAAATTCTTATTTTTTCTCAAGCAAATTTTGAAATTTTCAAACACCACCTTCGATTGTAAATTTCTAAACAGTTTAGATCATATATATAGCAAATGCTATTAAGGGAAGTAGAGTAACTAATAGATGAGAGATAACTGAATTACTAAATATTTGAAACCAAATTACGTCAGGTTAGGAGGCAAACAGAATGATATGAAAAATGAACTTTTTCAGCCTGCACAATATGGATGGAGATTTATGTCAAATGGGAAAAATCTAGGTGCCAGTGATAATCTATGGTAACCAGGGTCACAGAAGATGACGAGGAAACTACCAGGAGGTCCTTCCTATGAAAGCATTGAAGCATTTGTGGAATCGGAAAACGGAGGAGTTGACGATGTGACTACTTTGTCTGACAATGGTGTTGTTAATTTTGATTATTGTTGATTCGTCGACCATGTTCAACTATTATTCATGGAAACATCCTTTCGAAGCAATTTGCTTTCGTTGTGTAATGTTATCACTGAGGATATTCTTTTATTCATCATATATTTATAGTATTGAGAACTATCTCGCCTGAGGTATGCAACAGAAAAGTCATTCAAAGCGATAGCTCATAACCTGATGTAATCTGGTTTCAAGATTTAGCAGTTTACTTGCCAATTAACTTATTTTGGGGTACACTAGTTCTCGGGGAAGGGTTTTGACAATTGATTCAGAACCCCTTGTGATATTGAATAGATGGGGGCTTAATTTTAATTCCCTTCCATTATTTACTATATGTATATAGAAATATCCAAATTAGTCGAAGTCAATACAACTGGATGCAATCCTAAATTGACTGCGCACGACATAGTGTCCATATTATTTGGATTTAAACCACCAAGAAAGAATACTGGTGGCAATAATACTATTTTGGCATTAGTAAAAGTTTGGAATTTAGATCAATTTCTCCGTTTAGAGAGTCTACTACAGACAGGACCCAAAGAATGAGTAGATCGTCTATTATAGATAAATCAGGAAATTACACTAGGGAAAGACACAAACAACATATATGCAGTTGGAAGTAAGCTCTGATAGGACCTGAAGACAAAGTCCATATAATAAGAATATCTGGATTTTAATTTGTGAATCTAGCAGGGTACTAATTTGATGGGAACAACTAGCTAGCAGAGCGAAGCATTATGACATCATTAACTTACGAGAGTATGCGGAATTGAGCTCTACACGAAAGGGAATAGGAAAGAAAAGAAGATGAGATCAGTACAAGTTAAGGTTTACAAACTTTATTTGTAATTAGCAGCGATTGACATACAATAGGATATATCTTTAATAAAGAACTTCTTAAGGCAATGTATGAAGTGGTAAGCAAATGGTTACTACCCAATTAGGATGTTAAATTATATGCCGTACAGACTGACATGTGTAAAATAATAATTAATAATTTAAGGGGATCTGAAATGATTTTTAGCCACATTTTCATTTTCATTCTTGGGAAATGTAAATGTATAACGGTTTGTTCGTTTATCACACAAATACACATATGGTTATAACATTATGTTAATGTGTAAATACCCAAGGATATATAACATGTGTTAAATTCTATTACGTAATGGATGCATATAAACTGCAAACTGTAAAAGCACAAAACAATTGAATGATGATGTCATAATGAAAGAATCTTTAACGGCTACTATTTGAAACATTCATAGAAGAATCTCATATCTTTCTTATATACAGGAATACCAAAAGTTTATGATCTTTGTGATATTATCGGTTAATCATTAAATGAAGGGGTGGGGTGGACAAAGTCATTTCAAATCAGACGATTACAGTATAAAAGTAACCATCAATTCCACATTTAATTGTTTTTCCATCTTTTCTACTTCCTTCTTTCTCTTTCTCTTCTTTCTTTATCCTTTTTCAATTAAATTAACATTTCTTTCCTTGTTTTATTTTTAACTACATTTTTCATTTACACTTTTACTCATCTCCCAATTTTAAATCCTCCACGCAGTGAACTCCGAAAATTAATTCACTAATTAATTTACACAGGCTAATTATACAACTTATAAATTTATAGATATAAACATACAATAACTATGGTACATCCTTTAGCTACTAACATTGTTGTTCAAGAAGATGGTGCTGCTTCTTCTTCTGCTATTTCTAGTCAAGTTTCATCTGCTCCAATTTCAGCTACAAATTCACCTCATTTATCCTATTTAAATAATGATGGTATTGATGAATTACAACCTTCATTAAGAAAACATCGAGTATCAAATTTATCATTATCAGATTTAACTCAATGGCAATCAGGATTACATAAATTATCTTCATCAACTTCATTATCAAATTTATCATCGTCAAATTTAAAAAAATGTGATTCTTTAGCAAAATTATCCAGAAATTCTTCAATTATTAAAAGAAAGAAGAAAACCGTCATAGATCATGAAAGGGTTGCTAGTTATGCTTTTTGTTTTGATATTGATGGGGTTATATTACGTGGACCAAATACAATTCCTCAAGCAGTTGAAGCTATGAAACGTTTAAATGGTGAAAATAAATATAATATTAAAGTTCCATTTGTATTTGTCACCAATGGAGGTGGAAAACCAGAAAAAGCACGTGCTGATGATTTATCGAAAAGATTAGATTGTCATATCACTGAAGAACAAATTATTCAAGGTCATACCCCTATGAAGGATTTAGTCGGGGTTTATAATAATGTTTTAGTAGTTGGTGGTGTTGGAAATGCTTGTCGTAATGTTGCAGAATCTTATGGATTCAAAAATGTTTATACTCCCTTGGATGTTATGAAATGGAATCCAGCAGTATCTCCATATCATGATTTATCAGATGAAGAAAAACAATTTGCTAAAGATGTTGATTTTTCAAAAGTTGCAATTGATGCAATTTTAGTATTTGCTGATTCAAGAAATTGGGCAGCTGATCAACAAATCATTTTAGAATTATTATTAAGTGATCATGGTGTTATGGGTACTCAAACTGATACATATGATAAAGGTCCACAAATTTATTTTGCTCATTCTGATTTCATTTGGGCTACTAATTATAAATTATCAAGATATGGTATGGGGGCTTTGCAAGTTTCAATTGCAGCTTTATATCGTGAACATACTGGTATGGAATTAAAAGTTAATCGATTTGGAAAACCACAAAAGGGAACCTTTAAATTCGCTAATAAAGTCTTAACTCATTGGAGACAAGGGGTTTTAGATGAACATTTAAAGAAATTATCAATTCATGATCCAAATGCTCATGATGCTGATATTTTAATTAATGAAGAAGGTGATGAAATTATTAATCAAGCAAAATTAGAAAATTATCATTATTCTGATAGTGAAGATGAAGATGAATCTGAATGGGAAAAAGATCCTGATTGTAAAGTTGTTGATAAAATTGCTGAAGTTAAAACATCAGAAAAGATTACTTTGGAATTACCTCCTGCTTCCACGGTTTATTTTGTTGGTGATACTCCAGAATCAGATATTAGATTTGCTAATTCTCATGATATTTCTTGGTTTTCAATCTTGGTAGAAACTGGTGTTTATCAAGAAGGTACCGTGCCAAAATATAAACCAAAATATCAATGTCATGACGTATTGGAAGCAGTTGAATTTGCTATTGAACGTGAACATCAAAAGGAATTGGAAGAATGGAATGAAACTGCCGTGGATGATGACAGTTCTGTTTTGGCTGGTGATAAATCGCCAAGAATTAGTTTTGCTGATTTGGTTATGACTCCAAGTGAAAGAAAACAACAAGAAGAAGAAAAGTCCAAGAATGTCAAGTCAATTCATGAACATGAAGCTATTGAAGTTCCAGTGACTTTAACTCAAGAAATTGAAAAGATTAAAGATCTTAAAATTACCTCCAAGTGATTGAATTTTTGTTGTTGATATTATTATCTCTCTTGTTATTATTATTATTATTAATTAGTTAATACTTGTATAGTTACCAATGCTTATAAATTTGATACACCTTATACACATATAAACTCCCTATATGACTCTTGCTATTAAATCATGTAATTCATTTCTTGTCAACATTGACAATCCATGCTCATACTCTTTTCTTAATTCCTGATAATCATTATCAGGAGAATATCTCTTATTTTTATCCAATGAATCTAACAAATCAATTGCCTGACATACTTTCACATAACTATCATTTCCATCACATGAAAATTCGGCATGTTCTTCACAATTAAGAAATAATAATATATGCAACAGTGTCACAATATGACCAAAATCAACCAATAATTGATCCACTCCTTTCCGATCAAATTGATTATTGGTTATGATATATTCATAATAAATATTACATATGATACTCACCACTTGATTTACAATCATGAAATAATCTAATGTTGATAAACTCCGACGTAAGATTTCCAAATAGGTAGGTAATGTATTCACAATAGTTGATAAATCGTCACTAGGTAATTCATAATCTCCATGAATGGTGGAATTTAACTCCCATTGACTTGAATTCACATATTGCTTCACCAATTGTTTGATCTCCCCTTTGAAGAAATCTTCATAATCATTAATAAGTCTATTAATAAAGTCATCATATTGGGAAATGGCACTTTCGAAAATACTCAGATCTTCATAATCATCAACATTTTCACCGGAATAAGATTTATAAGCTTGCCATAATTGAATAAAGATGAGTTGATTACTCCAATATTCTAATGAATTACTGATAAATTTACCCGAACAATAAAGTTCAGTCAACATCGTTAACCCGCGTTGTCCTTGTTCAATTCGACTAGATTCATCGATTGTTTCTTTAATTCCACCGGGGATATAATTCAATACACTTTTGAAATTAAATTTTTCTAAGAATGTCCTATATTGTCTGTTTAATGAATCTAAATATTTATCAATCAAATTTAATTGAATTTTGGAAACATATTTTAATTGATATTTCACGATATTTAAAGTTTGATAATGAGAACTTAAATTATTTATTAATTTGACTAATCCATAGGCTGAATATGTTGGTCGTAAGATATACTTATGGATATGACTTCCACTATCATCATCATCACCTAATTCTAATGTCCCTTGATAATCATAATCAATAGTGAATGCGTCCTTAGTGGTTATGATTTCTGTTTGGAAACGTTTTGTAGCTAATTCATTTTCAAAATTTAACCAATTTTCTACTGCAACATTCAGATCAGATCCTGATCGGTTTATTAATAACACATCACTGGTAATACCATTCCATTTTGATTCTGGTCCGGTTTGGAAATCATAAATATATGGATTGTATTTATGTATAGTTCTTAATCTTTGATCAAATGATGATAATTCAAATATTAAATGAGATAACAATCTTCCATTCTTTTCCAACATAATCTTATCTTGAGAATAAGTAATGATATTTTCATTTATCACTGTAAGCATTTTTTGGATTTTGATACGCAATGGGTTTAATAAGCTGGTTATAATTTCATATAATCCAATCCTACCTACTTGTTTGAATGTATCTTCTACAATTAGGTTAATTAATCCAATATCATTAGATAAGAAAGTTTCAATAAAATTGAAGGCCCATTCTGGTTTGGATAATTTATTGGTTTCCTTATTGGTGGAATTAAAATGATAATTGAATCGAATAATTATTGGATCAAGTAAAATGTCTAATGCCCACCATGAAGCAGGATATTTGGGGATGTTGTTTATAGATTGAAGATTTATTAATTGTTGGAATAATTTAGAAATTTGCGTTAAAGATTCATTGGAAATTTCATTATTTTTGGTTGACGACGTTGATAACCATTTAGTATTTTTTATCAATTGTTTCAATTGAGTTTCTAGTTCTTGTCTCTTGGTCTGTATTTTGTTTCTAAGGATTGTAATTAATGTCCCAGCTATGATATTATTCACATCATTCAAAGAATTGATTTCATTTGAAATTGCTCTGAGTTCTTCTTGGGATAATTCTGGACTGGACAATCTCTCTTCCAATGATTTCCCCATCTTTAACAATTCACACATCTTGATTGAATCCAATTTCATTTCAAATTGTTGTTTTAATTGAATAAACATCGACACAGGACCATATTCTGCAATCAATCCATTCATATTATCAATAGCATCATTTAAATCAAATCCAGGATCTGAAATCATAGAAATTACCGAGGTGATCTTTTCTAAAGCATTGTCAAATTCTTGTTGATTAAGTATTGATTGAGGTGCATTAGGTATCACTGAATTTGAATCCGATGAAGTTGTTTTAAGATTAGCAATTTGTTGAATTGTTTGACTTAATTGATTAAGTTCATTGAGTTTTGTTGGTAATTCTTGTAGATCTTCAATTGTAGTGAAGTTTGTATTTATATAATCAGCGTCCATATCCAAAGAGCAATAGCAAGCCAAATCCAGTAGCTCTTCTTCTTCTTCCTAATTGTGGGTTCTTGTAAGTCAAAGAAGATTGGTTGGTTGTAAAAAAAAACACCAGTCTATATTTTCTACAGTTTATTATAAATTCTTACATGTTTAGTTAGTTTACATGTTAATGATCTGATTTTACAGTTTCATTGATTCGCGCCAACTGAAAAAAAAAATTTTTGGTGGAAGCAAGAAGAAGAAGAAGAAGAAGAATAGAACGAACGCAAGTATAACGTAACTAAAAGGGAATCTTCATTGAAAGGAAATAGAAGAAAACAATGCAAGCACCTGTCGTCTATTTAAACACATCCACCCAGAGACAAACTGGTCGTCAGGCACAAATTGCCAATATCACTGCTGCTAAAGCAGTTGCTGATATTATTAGAACTTGTTTAGGTCCCAAGGCAATGTTAAAAATGTTATTGGATCCAATGGGAGGTATTGTATTAACCAATGATGGTCATGCCATCTTAAGAGAAATTGATGTTTCTCATCCTGCTGCCAAATCAATGATTGAATTATCAAGAACTCAAGATGAAGAAGTTGGTGATGGTACTACTACAGTCATTATATTAGCTGGTGAAATTTTAGCTCAAACTTTCCCATATATTGAAAAGAATATTCATCCAGTTATTGTAATACAAGCATTGAAACAAGCTTTGAAAGATGCTTTAGAAATCATTCATGATGTTTCTGTTCCTGTTGATATTAATAATGATGAAGCCATGCTTAAATTAATTAGTGCTTCAATTGGTACTAAATATGTTCATAAATGGTCAGCTAAAATGTGTGAATTATCTCTTAAAGCTGTAAGAACTGTCTTGATTCAAAATGGTGACTATAAGGAAATAGATGTTAAAAGATATGTCAGAATTGAAAAGATTCCAGGTGGTGAAGTTACTGATAGTGAAGTTTTAGATGGAATCTTATTAAATAAAGATGTTGTTCATCCAAAAATGAAAAGAAATATCGAAAATCCAAGAATCATTTTATTGGATTGTCCATTGGAATATAAAAAGGGAGAATCTCAAACTAATATAGAAATCACCAAGGAAGAAGATTGGAATAGAATATTACAAATAGAAGAAGAACAAGTTAAATTATTATGTGAACAAATCTTAGAATTTAAACCAGATTTAGTTCTTACTGAAAAGGGTGTAAGTGATTTAGCTCAACATTACTTATTAAAAGGTGGTGTATCAGCTTTAAGAAGAGTTAAAAAATCAGATAATAATAGAATTGCCCGTGCTACTGGTGCCACAATTGTTAATAGAGTAGAAGATTTAAAAGAATCAGATGTTGGTACAAAATGTGGAGAATTTAAAGTTGAATTGATCGGTGATGAATATTTCTCATATTTAATTAAATGTAAAGATCCACAAGCTTGTACTGTCATGTTAAGAGGTCCATCAAAAGATATCTTAAATGAAATCGAAAGAAACTTACATGATGCCATGGCAGTCACTAGAAATGTCATGTTTGAACCTTCATTATCCCCAGGTGGTGGTGCTACTGAAATGGCATGTAGTGTTAAATTAGCTGAAAAGGCTAAAACCATCGAAGGTATTGCTCAATATCCATATCAAGCTGTGGCTGATGCCTTTGAAGTCATTCCTAGAACTTTGATTCAAAATTGTGGTGGTAATCCAATTAAAGTATTATCTCAATTAAGAGCTAAACATGCTCAAGGTAATTATACTTTTGGTATTGATGGTGAAAACGGTAAGGTTGTCGATATGAATGAATATGGTATTTGGGAACCAGAAGTGATTAAACAACAATCTATAAAGACTGCTATAGAAAGTGCATGTTTATTATTAAGAGTTGATGATATCGTTAGTGGTGTTCGTCAACAACAATAGCTACATTAATTTTATTAGCATATAATATATAGAATTATACATGTATCCCCCAGTTCTAAAGTTTCTCTTTTTCTCGCTTCTTTGCATGCTTAGGAGTTGTACCTTTGTATCTATCAGTAATTCTTCTAATCATAAATGTAAACAAAGCTGAAATCAATCCAAATGGTGGAAAGAGTTCCAAGAGGGTACATAATGGATTAGGTCTAATCTCTTCAACTAATGAATCTATTGAAGTGCGTAGGATTGCCAAACTCTTATTATTATCAATCACGATATCAGAACGATAATTTCTTTCTTGATTTGACATTTGACTAGATATTCTCTTTAAAGCATCTTCTTTAGTCAATTCCGGATTTCTTGACAACAATCTTTCAACTTGAACATCTTCATCACAAGAAACAGTAATCACCAACCCACAGATTAAATGCAACTTACTCTCATACAACAAAGGAACATCAACAATAACCATGCTCTTCAATCTAATATATGCCATCATAATTTGTCTTGCGATTTCATTCTTAACAGCAGGATGAACAATCGAATTCAAAATCCCAAGACGTTCCTTGTTTCCAAATACCGCCTGTCCCAACACAGCTCGATTCAAACTTCGATCTTCATTTATTAAATCAGGTACAATTTCCAGGAAATTACTTATGATTTTATTATAAGCTGGTCGATCAGGATTTACAACTTCTCTTGCAATAATATCGGCATCAATTACTGTTAAATGATGTCTTTCTCTAAGTTCTTTGCTGACAGTGGATTTACCACATGCTATTCCACCTGTTAGTCCCACAATGAGCATCTCCTTGTTTACTTATTGATGTCTGATTGATTCTAGAAGATTATCTTCTTCTTTCTCCAGATCCGAGACAACAATCAAAAGATCTTATGAGCCGTTTTGTTTGGATACGACATTGGATAAATGTCTCATTAAATAATGTCGCATTGGTTTTTGCAGCTATTCTCAAATTGCAACCTACTACGTTCATTAAGGGAGACTACGAAATGGATAAAAGGCCATTCCAGGTTGATTAAATAATCTGATTTTAACAAAAAATTGAAGCAAGAGGTGGTGGATATGTCTTTAGAAATAGAGGGATGTGAATGTGAAAAACTGTAAGATTGCATGCCATTCCATGTAAGAAACGGTGTCCAAATTATATCTTAACATTCATTTATATTCTATAATTTCACTTTACTATTTAAAACTTGTAGCTTTTAATAAATCTCTAATCCCTGTATTAGAAAATGTCAATAACGCAGATATCAACCCAAATGGTGGAAACCCATTCAATAAAGTCACAATCGGATTGGGTCGAATCTCTTCCACAAGTTCCTCAACATACTTTTGTAAAACCTCCGGACTCTTATTATTATGCAACACTATATCTGCCCTGTGATTCCTTTCCTTGGTTGACAATTGACTCGATATACGCTTCCTAGCATCCTCTTTAGTCAATTCTGGATTCCTCGATAATAATCTTTCCACTTGGATTTCTTCATCACAAGACACTGTAATCACCAACCGACATAATAAATGCAATTTGGTTTCATACAACAATGGAGCATCTAGGATAACCATATGTTGCAGTTGGAGATATGCCTTAACTAATTGTTTTGCAATTTCGAATCTGATAGCAGGTTGGACGATCGAGTTAAGTATGGCAAGATTTTGCTGGTTCCCAAATACTGCTTGGCCCAATGCTGGTCGATTTATACTTTGATCTGGGTTTATTAGATTAGGGACAGTATAGCGGAAGTTATCTATTATTCTCTTATAGGCTCGTCGATTGGGAAGGATTACTTCTCGAGCTACTACGTCGCAGTCAATGATGGGTAGTTTATGATTTTGTTGGAGTAGTCTACTCACGGTGGATTTTCCACAGGCAATTCCTCCAGTTAAACCCACAATTCTCATTGGATATTTCTTACTTGAGATAAGTCTCTAAAGGAAGCTTGAAAGATAATTTGGTGAAATACAAAATTTTAAGAAGATCAGGCAATATGTTCTAAGCCTTCCTTTTAACACTAATTCATATTAAACGTAATTTAAGTTCGGGGTAATTTGAGTTGATAAGGGATGATTTTTCTTGGTATCTATGAAAAATGGAACTTAATTAATATCTTGAGTTGATTCCAATTATAATGAATGTTTTTACATTGTCAATGTAGGAATTCAGCCATAGGACATCCTCTATATGTATGATCAAGCTAGAAAATAATGTCTCACCAGTAGCGCTCCCAGTTGAGAAATGTCTCTTTCCAGAAAATGTCTGATTCATAAATTTTCATCGAATTCGAATTATCCATGAATCCAGCCTTTGGACGTTATATGCAATATGCTTCGAGTAACAAGACCACTTAAAGCGTATGTCCTTGGTCCAGGTGCCATAGGAACTTTAGTTGCCCATGATTTAAAAAAAGAATTTAAGGAAATGTTAGATGTAACCTTATTATGTCGATTAAATGCTATTCATGATGGGAATCTTAATCTTGTTAGATATCAACGAGGTAATATTGAAAGATCTACAGAAGTTGCAAGTCTTATGTATCCTAGTTCAAATCAATTAAAGCTTTCTACGTTTGAGATTGAAAATATGTTGATTACTACCAAAACATACATAACTCCATTGGCACTTGAACCATACCTTAGGGCATTGAATGAAGATTCAAATGTATTACTTTTACAGAATGGGATGGGAGTAGTGGAGATGTTGGATGAGATGTGGATAGGTAAGAGACCAAACTTATATCAAGCTATTACCACTCATGGAGCATATAAACAAGGTAAAGAAGTTGTTCATTCTGCCCAAGGTACAATCACGATTGCAAAACTACCCAAACCAGGGATGTATGGTATGGAGCGAGATACTGATGAAGAGATTCCGGACTTTATAAATATGATATTAAATACCAAGTCATTACGAGCCCGAATGGTCCCATATGAGAAGTTTTTAGTATTACAAGCAGAGAAATTTGTTGCCAATTGTTGTATTAACCCATTAACGGCAATCTTTGATGTTAATAATGGAAGTTTATTATATACAGATCATATTGTGAAAATAATGAGAAGTATAATTAAAGAAGCTGTTTTGGTATTAAATGCAGAATTTGAAGAATTACGAAATAGTTCAGAAGCTCAGATCTTATTGAATCAAGATCGACTTTTGAGTAATGTGATTGCATTATGTAAGGATACTGAGGCGAATAGTTCTTCAATGAGACAAGATATTAGACAGTTGAAAGAACCTGAATTGAGGAGTCTTAATTCTCAAGTGGTAGAATGGGGGTATAAACATCGTATTGGTACGCCTGCTAATAGAATGATAGCCCAAATAGTTACGGCTAAGCTTGATCTTCATAAAGCTCTTGATAGAAAATCTTCTGATGAGGCTTTGGAAATATGAGGTTGTATATAGAATGGCATGTATTTATTAATAATGTAAACTTGAAGATGAAGGATCTCGTTGCGTTCAAAGAGGTAAATATGTAAAACAACTTCTATATGTAATTCAACGGGGACTGTCTTAATTTTACAAAAGCACAGTTGATACAGCTAAACTGGTTCATGAAATTACATCCATTGGCCCTAGCTATTCATTAAACTTCTAAATCTATAATTTTGATATCTACAAACAATCTATATTTCTAAAGACTGCAATACATTCTTTGCAACAAATAATCTATCATTATACAACACTCCAATAGCTTTCTTTCTTTCTCGGTTCATTAAATCTGAATCGTCATTAAATTCCAAATACTTATGATTTTCCGCTTCCACTATAACCTTATCCAATATAGCTTTAAGCAATAAAGATGAATGGGTCTTATATGCATTCCCGTCAGTTATCCCATTAATCAACCCCATCAATCTTCTTGACTCTTTCGGTATTCTTTCTTGAACGACAGCAAGTGCAACTTCTGTCCTGAACGATATCCCATCTTTAGTCATAGTATAATCTCCATAATAATCATATTCCTTCAAGAATTCAATTTGTGTCGGTTTCATAAGTCGAATAAGATATTCTGAAATATCTAAATCATTCCATTTATTCTCGTCATTGCCAATAACGAATCCATATTCACAAAGTAAGAAATCATTACTATGAGGACCATAACTCAAATATACTTGTTCATCATGGTCATATGCTGTGGTGGTTAGGACTTGGAATCCTTTACCGTCTATTTTGAGTGTACAATGATTCTCACAAGAGTGATTCAAGAAATCGACATAAGGAGCCATGGTGAAGTTGTCGCTGGTTGATTTACTTGTGGGGAGTGACATGTATAAACAACGGGAATTTATACATATCCAGGAGAGGAGGAACAGTTCTTTAGGGACAAGATTGTCAGGATCGGTGTCACATTTGGATTGGACGAGGTCCGAAACTATCTTGTAGTCATTGATGAATCTGGTATAAACTTTCTCGGCAGCGATTTGAGTTGATTTTGGAAGGAGGTTGATCAATTTGTCATTATTGTGGATAACTTTCCAAACTAATGGCATCATTTCAAAATCTGATAATGTGGGTAACATATTAAGGAAAGGTTTCCAAAATGATTTATCTAATCTTTGTTTCTCTATGGTTATATACAATGACAATAATTGGAATGAAGATAATTCAGATAATTCTTTATGTGATAATTTTTCATAAATTTTCATAGTAAATTCATCATGTAAAGTTTCAAATGGAGTATAAATATTACCAGCAATTGGGATTGAATTGTTATATTTGGCGAGATGACATAATACGGTTGTTGTATTTAATAAGAATGAAGGTGGAATTCTAAGTATTAATTCTGATTTAATTAATTTATCATTGGTATAAATACCTCTACCTGATGATTTAACATCTCTAACTTCAATCTTAGGAGAAATGTATGAATGAGTTGAAGGTTGTAATTTCTCATCTTGAGTATTCTTAATCCATTCTAATAAACAGATAAGCTTCTCATCTAAATGTATCATTTCTTCTGGTGCTTATCAAGAAGAGAAAGAGAGCGATGACTCCAATGAGATGACTCAAAAAAATCTCACTGAAATTTTTCATAGTGGAAGAACGAGAGAAGCTTACAAGGGAGGGCTATAAAAGTCATGTCCAAATTTTCCTATTAACCACTATATATATACACAGCCAAGGGCCTGCTAAAACATATTAAGGGTTAAAGTATTTGCAATTGATTTTGTATCAATGGCATTTTTAAATTCTTCAAAATTCAATTTCCCATCTCCATCTAAATCAGCTTCCATCATGGTCTTATCGACAATTTGTTGTAATTCAGCATCTTGTAGATTCTTCCCAACCATCATCTTCATAACAATAAACAATTCTCCATTTCCTATATACCCATCTCTATCAATATCATAAATTCTAAATGCAAATTTTAATTTATCTTGAGTTGTTGATTTCCCACTAAATGCAGATAATCCAGTTATAAATTCTTGGAAATCAATCTTACCATCTCCATCAATATCAAATACATCCATTAATCTAGTGGCTAAAGGATTAGACAGAACTCCAGGAATCAGTAAGAATTCTTGTTTATCAATTTCCCCCAGTCCATCTTGATCTAATTTCATAAATCGTTTACGTAATCGATCAATTTCTTCTAAATTGAAATTTGTATCTTCCATTAATCCATTGATTATCCCTGATGATGGTCCTTGTCCCATTGTGAACTTACTATTTGTATCCTATATATATCTTTGTAATAAAGATAACAGTATGATGATTGGTAATTTCATTGCTCCGCCCTAAAACTCAACGATACCGCATTTAAGATTCATCACGTGATTTATAATACTTTATGAGCCGCACATCGTGAGGATAACTTAAAAATATTCCATTTAATATGAAAGAGATGATGATCTTCCTTTATCAACTCAATCATCCATTATGTTCAGTTCATTGTTATCCCGACCTAAGAACTCTTCTTATGAACCTCCGACTCATGTTATACCCAATTTAAAACAATCATCTTCAAAATCCAATTCATCAAAAGCTTTAACTATAACTTCCATCCCACAAGTAAATTCCATAATCACCAAAGAGCAACACCCAGGACAACAGAAGACAACAACAGCTTATATTCAATCGAATTATGAAGACACTATCCCACTTAAGAAGAGGTATCCGAACCTAATCCATCATTTCCCAAGACCTGATCGGGATTCGTTGGTTTTACCATTGTCACCAGAAGAAGAATCAATGATTTATGAAACTAAATTAATAGTGGATAAACTAATAGCATCAAAATTAGGCATGGCAGAACCTGAGAGTGATGTAAATTATGTTAAAGTCACCAATAGTTCTGTGAATGATGATGAGAATGAAAAGATTATTCAAGTAAAGAAATTCCAGACTGATCCGATGTTACCTCCAAAATTCAAACTTCGAAAGAATAGACATGAGCCACCACCCCCACCGCCTCCAATTTTGAAGAAAGCTGGCGATGGAGGCGGAGAAGGTGGTTCTAAATTAACTAAACTGGATCGAGAGAAGTGGAATATTCCTGCGGCTATTTCGAATTGGAAAAATAATCAAGGGTTTACTATTTCATTGGAAAAGAGGATGATTTCTCAACAAGGAGAAGATGGAGAAGGGTCTAGTGTGAATGTTGAGAAATTTGGCGAACTTTCACAAGCATTGGCTGATGCTGATGTTCAAGCTCGTGAAGAAATTAGAATTCGTAATGAGATACGACAACGACAAGCTATTGAGGAACAAGAAAGACGACAAGAGAAATTAAAGAGATTGACTTCAGGACGAAGAGGTCCTGGTCCAAAAAGAAGAAAATACTAGATGTGTGTGTGTCTCGTATGGACTTTTGTACAATATTTTAATGATCCTAATGACAGGCATCGGTTTGTTGAGAAGTGGACTGAACTGTGTACAGACTATTCTATTGCTTTGGTTATAGTATTATTAATCTATTTGTCCAATCCTTTCTAGCAATTGTTTTCGCCTTCTATCAACTAACCACTGAGATACCATTTCATTTGTTGGAAGTATTGATTCAAAATCATATATTATCTCTTCTTGAGGTTGGTCATACTCCGTTCTAGGTTCTTGAGGTAACAACTCGTTTGATCTTTTCTTTTCATAAACCAAAAGTGGATCATCCTCAGAATTGGTTTCATCAAAATATCCATAATAAGATAAATCTATTCGTTGTTTCCTATTATTCTCTTCTTGTACTTGTTGTTGTTTCTGACCTCCTTTCTTCACTTGTAGTCGTTGTTGTTTCTGAGCTTCAATTAATTTCTTAACATCCGGCAAATCCTTAGCTCTTCCAAAATATCTATATCCTTTACTCTGTGATCCATCACCTCCTCCACCTCTAATTCTTATTCCACTTTTGGTTAAATCATTATCATTACCAAAATGAATATAATCATTCCCACCAAGATTCTTTATATGATATTCCCACGATCTTTTTTGATTAAACAATTGATTCAATTCATCATTCAATTCTCGTATTGTTGATTCATTTATTATTGGATCTTGAATCCTGGCAAGTTTAGTGGAAATTTCTGAAATGATTGTTGATCGCCATTTTTCAGCTTGTGGGATTGAAGTTACTTTTTGAACATATTTTGGACGTAATGAAGGATCTGATTGTAAAATTCCTGCTTCTTTGTTTTTATATGCTTGGAATCTATTTAATGCTGATTGCGCCTTTTCTTTGTTTCTAGACATTGTTGGTATTACTATTATGGGCTTTATATGTTAACTGATAGTTTGTATGAGAAATGGGTAATTTTTTAGAGATGAGAGAATGCGCTTTTCACTTTAAAGATGCGCTTCTCACTTCAATTGTCTTGGATAAGAAGAATTATATTCGCCTGTACCATCCCAAGCATAAAAGAATCAGGGACTGTCAGCAGAAGAGAGTAGACAGAGACATCAAGGGATTTCGAATTAGACTTATTAAAGTCCCAAGATTTTGGTATTTTTCCTTGTTGTGGCAGTGAAGAAGACAACCCCAGACTTATACATACAAACTTACAATGCAGACGTTTGCAGATGGAGGTTTACGAAGAAGGATGGAAAAGCACGTGTCTATAAATTTGAAAACAAGAAAGTAAGATACAAAATGGACTTAGCTAGTGATCTGGTAAACAATCGTAATATCATTAAATCCGTTATGTTTGATCATAGACTTGATAGTTGACATACAACAAACGACAAATACGGTTGAAAACAAATTCTGTTGTAATCTGTCATTTGTAAGCTTCTGTAGGTTAATCAATGTGTAGATTGACAATATTTGCTATTTCATATGGAGAGCAATTCATCAATTGAACTATACAAGTCATATCCTCATAGCTATCGTCATGACCAGCATTCACTATGATTTCTCTCAAACTTTAACTGTCATATATTAATCAAAAGAAAAAATATGATTAAAAATTCTTTGAAATTTTCAAATGATCAAAAACAGAGAGAAAGAGAGACAGAACAAGTTTAAAGGTTTATTATAATAGAATATTTATATATATATTGATCATAGATGAATATCAATTTAGATAGTGCAAAGGATATACTTTGCAAAAACATTACTATATATGGTTATTGTAAGTTTGAAAATAAAGGATGTGTATTTAGTCATAGACCAAAGGAATCATCAAAGCAACAACAACAATCACTGTCACAACAACCACAGCTGTCACAACAGCAGACACCTCAGCAACAGCAACAACAGCAACCTCCAAACTCTGCTGGTTCAATAACTTCAACTCAATCAACTGACTCCAAAAAGAAATTCAATGTCAATACTCCTTCATTCCAACCAAGTTTATTGAAAACAGCAACTTCATCTTCAACAACTTCTTTAACTAACAAATTCGCCAATTTATCTCCCAAACTTAATGACATTCCAGTATTCAAACCAGAATCAAATGAGCATACAGGTCCTAAATTCAATGCCTCTACTCCATCATTCGTTCCGGGAGGTCCACAAGCGGCTATGAATAATAATAACAACACTGCAGGTTCCACCCCAATAGCTGCTCCTGCTGCAATTGCCGGAGGAGTAGGATCTGCAATTGCTCCACAACCAGTATCAACTGTCCCACCACATGTGGCTGCTGCTGCCGGAATTCCGCCATCTCAATCACCAAATCCATATTTGGCCGATTCTTATTATCAACAACAAACAACTTATCCATTACAATATCATTTATATGCACCAGCACCACCACCTAGACTTTCAATCCCATTGGCTCCTCATGAAACTAATTCAAAAGTATTATTCATCCCTAATGATCTTCGAGAAACTCTTCATCGTAAAAATGAAGCAACTTTACAAACAATGAGTCATTCAACATTACCTGAAACCGTTAATTCTTATCATTCCCTTGTTCCAATAGATCGAAGTTATGATCAAGAATATAAATGGAAATGGAAGAGTAGTTTATATAAAGTATTTGGAGGAGATGATGGACAACCTTATGCAATGAGAAAAATTGATACTAATAATTTAGAAAATTTGAATCTGATTGAATTTAAGAAATTTAAAATTTGGAAAAGTTTAGATTGTAGTAATGTTGTGAAAGTTATTGATGGATTTACTTCTTTGAGTTTTGGATCTCCGGGTTGTTTAATTGTCGTATATGATTATTATCCAAATTCTCATACTTTATTGGAACATCATCATAAGAAGCTAGTTGGGAAACCAGAACCAATTAATGAAGAAATCTTGTGGAATTATTTGATTCAATTAATTAATGCATTGAAACATATTCATGCGAAAGGATTAGCAGCAAGAACTGCAATTGATTTAAGTAAGATTATCGTGACTAATAAAGATAGAATTAGGATTTCTTCAGTTGCAATTAGTGATATTTTAGAAGAAGATGAAGGTGATATTACTCAATTACAATTGGATGATTTCCGTAATATTGGTAAATGTTTAGTTGAATTAAGTTTATTAACATTACCAATACATATGAGAACTAATACCACCAATACTTTCCAAGCACTTAAGATGAATTTAAGTGAAGAATACGTGGATATGATTCAATCATTAGTCCAAGTAAATAGTTCCTTTGATGTAGAAGCATATCATCAAAAATTAACTACCCGATTATTCAATACTGTTGATAAATTACAAGATTGTTGTGATTTCATGGAAAATCAATTAACTTCAGAATTAGAAAATGCAAGATTGTTTAGATTAATGACAAAAATCAATTTTGTAACTGCTACAACAAATACTCATAAAATCATTAAATTATTTTATGATTATGTATTTAATTCATATCATGAAACAACTGGGAAAAGAGTGGTTGATTTATCTAAAGTATTAATAAATCTTAATAAATTGGATTGTGGAATTGATGAGAAATTGTTATTAGTTAATAATGAAGAGAATGAATGTATTATTGCTAGTTATAAAGAAATTAGAGACATTATTGATTCTAGCTTTAGAATAATATCTAGAGATTGAGAGTTCTATTGTATTAATAGGTATTTTTAATAAACAAATATAAAGAAAAATGTGTACTTAGGGTTGCCTACAGTTTTTATTGAACTTTTTGCATTCTTAATCTAACTGACATACTTACATCGTCATTTACTTCTTCTGAGTAAACTTAACACGAAGTACCCTGATGCTATTCATAACCTTACCCTATCTCTTTGTAGTTGGTTTGTTTTATCCCTGGAAATTAATTAGTTATATTTTGCTGGTTAGTAATTATAAACTAAGTTCTCTATCTCTGGTAATTTATAAATCATAAACTACTCTCTCTTTAATTATTGCCAAGGAATCTATGACAAGATTTATTTTTGTCTGCAAAACTTTAAATTCTTCTGCATTACAGGTCATTGTGGAGAATAATTTAAGCAAGAATGAAATTTAAGATGGTACTAGTATCTGCTGTTTGATATAGAAGCATACAGGAAATGTAAATCACCAGTTAGTCACCAACGGTTACAACTTTTTTGAATATTGGACCCAGGGCTAGTTAGAAAATACGATGGATATTGCTTCTTCTCTATTCCACACTCAATATTTTTGATTGATTTTCTCATCCTTAAAATCAAATTCTTTCATTTCTAGGGTTTTCTGTTACTTCTCTTTGAAGTGCTGTTCTTATTTTGGATCATTTTAACAATTCCATCGAGCTAATGGGTGATTATAAAATTTCTTGTAAAATAGTTGCGAAATAATTTAATAATTAAAAACTCAACAGATAGACAAGCAATTCCAAGTTAGCTTGTATCAACCATAGAAGAATGTTGTAATAAGGAAATCTAGATTCTAAAACTATAAGAATATCCACTGGAATCCCTTCAAATTAACCGATGAAAATAGCGTAAATCTATTGGTAGGTTAAACTGGGAAAATTAACACAAATATACAATTGGTTTTGTGGTCTAGTTGGTTATGGCATCTGCTTAACACGCAGAACGTCCCCAGTTCGATCCTGGGCAAAATCAAATTGTTCATTTTTTTGATAATTTAACAATCTACATGTTATATACTGGGTATATGGTAAGTTTCTATAGTCAATTGAAGTAAAAATCAGACATAAATTTACGATAGAAAAATTGTAAAGTTTATTTTTTTATATTTTAAAAAATACAGTACATGATAAAAAATAAGTCAAGCTAACTGTTGAAGTTAGCCGGGGGTAATCCTATATATAAAATATTATTAGTCATTAGGACCCTTCAGGGGGGTTTGTGCCCCACAAAAGAGTCTTGTTCTGAAGGAACATAGTAGTTAATAAAGTAACGGATAGAGGTTCAATTGGAGAAGCATCAGACCGCGTAGCTTGTCAAGTTTATTTCCTATTTACTCGTAATACATTTAATACTAACTTATAACTTGCCCTATATCAATTTATTTGTGCTTTCAATTGATCTAATATATAATCACTAAATTTATTTAACCCACTGGTACTAGTACATGAACGATATAACTTATTAGGTTGATAAGTACCTTTAATAATCTTACCATCTTTATCAACTTGTACATAACCAAATACATTTTCAGGCGGAGGAACACGAGCATATGTATTTTCAGGCATTTCTCTTAAATCATAAATTGGCATATAACCATCTTTATTTACACCACCTTCAATTATATATGTAAAATCTTGATCAATATGATCACGAATTGTTTCATGAACTAATTCAAGAAATTTAGGATTAGATTTAAAACTTTCTGGTGTTGGTAATACTGAATCGGAAATTCCAATATCTAAAGAATTTGGATTTGTTGAAAGTGAAAATTTATAAATATTGGGATTTAATTCATGAATATAAATTTGAGGATTATGACGATATTGTGATAATGAACGAAATGTAATAACCAATTGACTTGGTTTAAC